AGTTATGGTGCTCGAGAAAACAACGGCACCACCGACGGGGAGCCCCACTGGTGCCGGTGTTGCCATTGACTCTCGAGTTCTGGACATCATTGGATCTTGGATTGGTCAACCCCAACTTCCCTACAGTGCCTCCGTGCCCCTTACCATCGATCAGGTATATTTTTTTGGTCAAATCGAAGCTCGCAGGGCTATGGCTATCCAATGTTCCGTTTCCATTTCTTCTGATTTATATGTTTCTGAACAGAACCAGATGATTGATGTTGATCGGAAAGTGAGTCAGGCATTGACAAGAGATGAGAACTTCAATTTCAGGGCAGTGCATTGGGCTGATCTCCATGGCCTCCTCTACCATTCATTGCCGCCAGACATTTTCTTCTGGGGCCACCATTTCCTCTCCTTCACCGTTTCTGAAGACAAAACGTCCGTTAATGTCAAGGCTAAAGTACTTCAAACTGACGAAATTTTCGAGGTGGATGGAAATTTGCTTGTTGCAGCAGATGGGTCACTCTCTTCAATCCGCCATACTTTTCTCCCTGACCTTAATTTGAGGTTCGTCAATGTACTTGTAAAGGAACAAGAATCTGTTTGACTTTTTTTTCTTCTTTTACATCCAATGATGAGCTATACATACCTATACATGAGACTAGATGATTCTCTCTCTCTTCAAAATCCTTTCGCACTTTACTCAAGATTGGAATAAATCTCAAATTTTTAATCAATTGACTCAACATGGGGGTAAATTTTATGTGATTTAAATTGGATTCATTTAAGATTATGATCTACTTTTTCGTTGCAGGTATACAGGTTACTATGCTTGGAGAGGGGTTCTTGATTTTTCAGGAAAAGAGGAATCCGAGGCCGGCATTAGGAGAGCATACCCTGACTTGGGAAAATGCTTGTACATCGACCTTGCTTCCAAAACTCACAGTGTGCATTTTGAAATTCCCAAAAACAGAGTCAATTGGATTTGGTATATCAATCAACCCGAGCCTCAGCGCCAGGTGAGTGCCTCAGCTATTACCCCATACTTAAAGGTACATTTACACACGTATAAAACTGTGCTCAGGTAATATATTTAGTAATATATTTCATTTGAGAATCGACGGTTAAGAGTTACACGACACATGTAAGTAGATCTTGACTCATTTGATCAAACTAGGGCTTTTAATGGATGTATATGAACAGAGAAATTCGCTGACTATGAGAGCAAATGATGAAGTGATAAAGGAGATGATTCAGGAAGCGGAGAAGGTTTGGTTGCCTGAGGTTGTGAGGGTCATGAAGGAGACGAAGGATCCTTTCATAAATGCTATATATGATTGTGATCCCCTAAAACAGATCGTTTGGGACAATGTAGTTTTGATTGGAGATGCTGCTCATCCTGTTACTCCTCATGGTGCGAGAAGCACCAACATGTCAGTGATAGATGCAGTTGTTCTGGGGAACTGCTTTAAGAAATGGGGAGCAAAAAACTTACACTCGGCTCTAGAAGAGTATCAGTCCACCCGGCTGCCTGTCATCACTAAGCAAGTCCTGCATTCGCGTAGGATGGGTCGAATCAAACAGGGCTTAACTCTTCCGGACCGGAATCCTTTTGATCCCAAGACAGCAAGTCCTGAAGAGTGCAAAGATCTTCAACATAAGAGCATGCCATTCTTCCATAGTGTTCCTATCATTAATCGATCCAGTCCCTAGTGCTCTGCTTGGTCTCTGAAGAGATGCTCATGGTTGCTCATCCCGTGTGCCTGTCAATGCTCTTTCATTTTCAGTTTCTTTTACAATAAATAATGGTGTGCTTATTGCTGCGACAATATTATTTATGCCACCAAAATTTCAATAATGTTTAAACATATCAGTTTGTTGACTGATTTTAATTTATTAATTAATAAATATTTGCTGTTTTATTAATTAATAATTAATAATTATAATTATTAATTATTTTTATCAATTAAATTAAATAAAATTAATCTTTTTACTAATAATATTTTACAGTTTTAGTGGCCATAATAACATTATTGTTGATGCCCAATAAATAACTATCCTCCTTTTGGGATAAAAAATGACGCCATTTTCATGGATGCCACTTTATCCAAAGACACCTGAAGCGGTAGAGAAATAACGGAGGAGAAAAAAATGGAGAAACTTATTTTTCATCAATAATGCTTCAATTCATACCTTATATATATATATATATATATATATATTGATCAGCAATTCTTACCTTATATCTAATCATATATACTAATAATCTACATAGTTAAGTGATAATTTATTTTTGGTAAAATAAGAGATCTTAGTTTTGAATTGTTTGGCATGCTAATATGACAGATTAAAGGATAAGAAAAGGTTACCTTTCATTATGCCACCTAAGATTAAAAAAAAAAAAACCATTTATCACATATCTATATTTTTTGTAATCTGCCAATCATTTTCCTTTTTCACTTTTTCATCTAAAATAAATCAAGGTTCAAACCTCAGGAAGTAAAATACCACATACAAAATGGTTGATAGACAAAATACCACATACAAAATGATGCCCTCAACCATACATCTAACTCTGATTCTGCTAAAAACTTTATTTCCTAATGAACAAATGCAGTACACGCATACACACACCAAAAAGGCAATGGAGGGAGGGGAAGTAACAAAGAAAAAAAGGAAGATAACAAAGTTCATTTCAATTACATAAACCATATTGCATTCAAGAGCCATTATTTGATCAGAACAACTCAGGTTGTTTTTGAAGGCCATGATGCTTGTGCTGACATAATTATTCCAACAATCACTCCAAACAATCCAAGTGCACTTCCAAAGATCTCAATCACAAGAATCTTCACAAATAGTGAGGAGTTTTGGGCATCAGATAATGCACAACTGCTTCCAATAATTCCTACACACAATCTGTCCACGAAAACGGAAGTGACAAAAATCATAAGCACAAGAGAATATGCAAAATGATTATTTGGTTAACTTTATCGAAAGATGCAAGGAAGAAGGATAAAGAGATGAACCCGCAAACAAGGTTTGCAAAGCCAACAATAATCCCAGAGGCAAAGATTGCATATCCTGCTCTAAGAGACTCTGGTGCGTAAATCTGTGCTGTTGGAACGCTCTCTAACTTTGTTTGTAAAATGATTGCGACAATAACACCATATATAGCAACAGCTTCACAGAAGATGACACTGAAATAATAAATGCAATGTAGAAAATTAATACTTTGAAAGGCATTACATGGCTGTGGCCCAAATCAATAATCAGAATGCAGAAAGGGTGAATGAGTGCCCACTAAAAATATTTTAGAAGTGAATTGAGATGTTGAATAGCATCATAAGAACCTCACACAGATAAGAATTGAGTAAATTGATCATTAAAAAGAAATACAACATTTAAGTGCCGCAACTCTTGCCACTTGCAATACAATAACAGAACAGAATGAATGAAAAAGAAAATTAAAAAATAATTGCTTTCCTATCTTTTAGCTTTCATTATTTTCGAGAGGGAATTTACTGTTCTACAACATACGGCCTCCATAAGATTTGAGGTTAAGGCACGACCTAACATAGCTAAAACTTTAGCACAGGCAGAACAAATTGTAGGACGTTAGGAATGGTTTTTTCATTCTCTCCTATAGAAAGCATAATTAAAGGAAAATCGCAGATACTACTTCAAGCTCTGAAATTAACTAGTAATCTACTTTCAACTGAAGCTCTGAAATCAACCAGCAATTCATAAAACTCGAAGCAAAAGTAAACATCTTTCTTCATTGCAGTTGCAATATTAGATCAAATTTACTAAGTATGAGAATTACATACCTGTGAAACAACACATACTGTAGGAAGGGGGGGGGGGGAAGGAAAGGGATTAGGGTTTATTTGCAAGAACAGATGATTTCCCAGCTTAAACCATATATGAATTGAGCAAAAACAACCGATAGCTAAGAATTACCTGATTAGATTCTTGGAAGTGATACGAGGAGCCTTGATTGCGGCACCAATCAAACTACTTCCAGTTATGTAAATCCCCCTAACAAATCCAAAATTTCGAAAAATTTCAGCGAAACATTAAACACGAATGACTCAAACAATAATCGCAAAGAACAATCAATAATTTTCAAACCATGCGGCGCCAAGGACTGAGACGCCGATTGCGATGGCGATGCCGACGGCGGAGAAAGTGTAGGGTGAAATCTGGGTGAGCGCTCTAGACCAGGAGCTTGAATCTCCCACCATCGCCGAACCAGACATACTTTCTCAGATCTGATGATGCTGCAGCTTCCTCTCGATTGATGATATGGCCAGAAAGACATGGGGAGAGCTAATTACTTTTCCGTATCTAAATTTTGATTTTATTCCAATTTCACCCATTTTCTTTTTTCTTTGTTTCAATTTCGTTCCAATCCTTTTAAATAGTTACATGAAAGGTTTTTCCTTAAGACCCAACCCAACAGTTACCTTAGCGCTTTGAATGGCCCAAGAGGCCAAGACCCGAAGGAGACTTTTAAATTTGGTTTAATTTTTTTTTATTTATTCTACATATAAATTGTAATTTAAATACTTTTACTAGTACGTTATTAAAAAAATTTACAAAAACTTTGTTCAAACAATGTTTTTGCAAAAACTAAGTATAATTAAATTAGAGAATCTCGTTTGATAGTACAAACTGTATCAAACTATAAAAATAAAAACTATTAGATGAAAGAGGGTTTTAATATTAAAATATCAAATTCTCATTTAATAATTAATGTAGTATAATTTGGTATAATATAGATTGTACTATACTTTTTTCAATTAAACTAAACATCAAATATAAAAAATAAAGAGTCAAAACATTGGGCATTGTTTTTTGAATTACAACAAATGTTGGTTATTATAATTTACCTCTCACTTGATATATAAATAGGTATATAGACATTTATTTAATGATATATGATTATTATAAAACTTTATTATAGTTGCTTATATTAGCTTGAAGACTAGAGACTAGCGATGAGAATTATGCCCACAAAAAGTAAAGTCATGCCATCTGAATGAACTAAAGAAAGGGATAAGTATATAGAAGCAGTGATACGGCAAATTCCCTTATGATTTCAGCTGTCATGATTCATGAAGATGTCATTTTCCTTAAATGCGGAGAAGTTTGTTTTTTCTAATACATATTTCTCTTGATGCGCAACTCTTGTAAGTATGTCATTCTTCACTTTATAAAAGGCAGCTCTAGCTTGACTCTAGCTAGCTTATTAATAACCCAACAATGTCCAACGACATCACATACATTTGCAAACGCACTGTTGTAAGCACAAAACCTGTGCAGCCTGGAAAATTCTTCTCCTTCTCTGTCCTCGATCGGCTTATGGAGCAAAACAACCTAAGAATCGTCTACTATTATCAAACCGGAGGAGATGCAGGAGAGCTCGGAAAAGCGACCAAGAAGCTGAGAGAGTCTCTATCGGAATTGCTCACTAATTTTCCAATAATGACCGGACGCTTGCAGAAGAACAGTGAAGGGCATTGGATGATCAAATGCAACGATGCAGGAGTAAGAATGATAGAGGCTAAAGCCAAAGGGAGTGTGGAAGAGTGGCTGACGAGTGTGAATAGGGAGAAAGAGCTCAAACTTGTTTATTGGGAGGAGATGTTCCACAAACCTCATTTTTGGTCCACATTTTATGTTCAGGTGATCTTGAATTATTTATAATTAAAATTCTTTTTTTTTCGTATTTACAATTAAGATATTTTAGATTAATTTTTACATATTTCGAAACCAATTCTTCCATTTCAATCTAAACTACAAAAAGTCTCGGTGTGAAATTATTTTTTTTTGCCATCCACATTATAATTTGTTAGGTACTTATCACCTCTAGAATTCTAATTTTGTTAAATGTCGCAGTTGACAGAATTTGAAGAAGGGGGACTGGCAATTGGTTTGAGTTGCATTCACCTCCTCGCGGATCCCTTTTGCGCCACCATGTTTCTCAAGGCATGGGCCAATCAGACCCTAATCGGAAACATGTTAGCTCCCCCTTTCTTCCATCCACTGCCACCGCGAAGAGCCGGTAACAAGGACCCAACACACAAGCCCTACACTGACTTAATCAACCACTACAAGTTCTCCATCGAAAGACCAACCCCTTTTACCAACAAAAAGCAGGCCACTTTAGCTCTCGCATTCAAGGACCACATGGTGCGCGATTGCATGGCCATGTCTCGAGCCAGCAGCACCGGACCTTCACCCTTCGAGGCACTAGCCGCACTGTTCTGGGTTTGTATAAGCAAGTTAAAAGGGAAAACAAAAGGGCTTCTAAACATGTCGGTATGTTTAGACATGAGAAAAGTTCTGAACTTGGACACAGGATTCTTCGGAAACTGCATGGTTTATAACAAGGTTCATGTGGGATCTTCAAGCAATTGCAAAAACATGTTACAAGAAGCCGCTAAGGGTGTCGGAGAAGTTATTCAGAAAATGGACATTGAGGGGATCATGGATTTGATCGAATGGCTGAGAAATAACGCCGACGACCATTCTGGTCCGGTAATGAACGGCTGGGACCTTGTGTGTGCTAAGTTGGAGGAAATTGAACCGTATGAGGTCATGTTTGAAGATGGGTTTGGACCAATTCGGGTGTCGTATTATGTGGAACCGGTGTTTGGAGTGGGGCAAGTGTTGGTACTTCCGTCGCCGGCGAGTGAGGGTCCGATGAGCAGGGTGGTGATGGTGACACTTTCAGAGGAAGAGGTGGTTAAGTTGTGCCAAGATGATCTAATTAAACGCTTCTGTCCGGCGATTATGATGTTTGGTTAATTAAGAAGAGAATCGAGATCGGGACAAGTGCTAGTCGGCAGACACTTTCTTGGGTTACGGAACTTATGGTGCACAAAATAAAAAATGCGAATGTATTGGATTCGAAAGCCCAAAAATAGCTTTGTGGGTTCAAATATATATGGGTCTGGTTAATGGCCGTGAATTCAGATTTCAGAAAAATGCCAAAAAAACATAAAATAAATATATAATTAAATGAAAAAATGCAACTTGCGTCAGCCGGGAATCGAACCCGGATCTATTGCTTGGAAGGCAATTATCCTAACCGTTGGACTACTGAGTACTGACGCAATCGATTACCTATGCAATATATTACGTATATCTCCTATGATTGAAGTTTTTGTTTTTATAAATTTAACCACTTTAAACAAAAAAAAAAAAAAATGAAAAATGAAAAAAGAAGAAGTTATTTAGTATGCATATTAATCCCTACTCTCATAAAAAATTTAAATTTTCAATTTTAAAAATATAATCTTTTAATGAATATTTTTTAAAATTAATTGTTAGATTTAATATTTTATTAACGTAAATCATGTATATC